TCTTGGGTCGAGAAGTCACTTATTTTTCATGTACTCTTTCATAGAGACCCAAAACCGAACTCGTACATTCTTAGTTTCAGGGGTGGTTTTAGAATAATTACCTTTTTTTAATTTCAGGGTTATAACAATAGATATTTATGTCATCAGGCCAACTGAATATTTTTGTTTGAGCTCCCATTTTTTTACAATTGAGCAAAGCACAAAAAGACATTTCTTGGCCGAATGGCATACATTTTAAAAGTAGAAAGTGAGGTTAGATCAATCTAAAAAAAGTTGAATTTTTTAATTGGTCCAAAGTACTACTGAGTAAATAATTAATTTTACGGCCAATGCCATAAATAACCTACCCCGATTGGTCTAAATAATATTTAAGTGCCTAGGTCATAATCAACCACTTAAGTAATAAGTGTTGACAATAAAGTTAAAATTATAAACTGACTAAAGATTTTATATTATAGACCAGGCAGTAAAAGCAGTCATTTTTAGGTTAATTTTAACTGACATGGTGACATTTTAGCTTCATTTCTGTACAGTTTTATAATAATTTGACTAGTATGTCTTTAATATTATAGACCTAGAAATAAATCGAGGGGTAAACCACTGATTTTAAAAAATTAAAAATCGCTTTCGAATTAACGTCTAAGAAAAACAATCCCAAGGGTAGTCATGCCCGACGCGTCGCTAAGAGAAATTTCTTATTGATAAGGATTTTTCCGATAACGACATAAGGAAAAAATCAGAACACAACGTCCACATAACGTTGAACATGGTATATTGTAGTATTAGACTACAATTTGTAGACCTAGGTGTAGAGATGCGACTTGAAAAAAACGGTCCGTTTTTTTTGTTTTTTTTTCATTGTTTTTTTTCAAATGGTTTTTTTCACATTTTAGGTTTTTTTTCAAAATTAGTCCCATTTGCCTAATTTTTTATGTTTCCAGTCCAGTTCATGGACTAAAATTAGTCACTAAATGACAATTAGTAAATGTAAATACAGTCTCGCGCTATGCACGCGCCACCACCACCAAATTGACCAATAAGGGCCGTGCTTGTTTTGATTTGGTCCTAAAAAAAGTAACTAAGTACATATAATATTTTTGATTCAGCGATTGATTTTTCAAAAAGCTACCAAAAGCACTTTTTTTCATGATTTTTCAAAATTATTTTTTTAAACAATAGCAAATTCTTGTAGAAAATTTATTCATTGGTGGTTAAGTAAATTTTTTTTTATTACCGTATTCGTTAGGACTGAGCGTTGCACGTTTTTCATCTAAAAAGCTCAAAACTAGAAACTTCAAGCTTCAAATTGCTTTTTTTACGGCTCCAATACGACCATTTTTAACAAAGAGACAGCTATCTGAAGAATCGCATTTATCCTTTAATTTTTTGTATTAGTGTAGAAGTTTTACATTGCTAATGGTTTCTAATGTGGAAACTACCAAATCAGATTTTTTAGTCTCGGTCAAAATTTTCAATAATGAAAAATGTAATATAGGTATTCTACATTTTACTTTATTATTAATATACATTTTACTCAAAATTTCATGTTGAAAAAAAACAAAAAAACCGTTTTTTTTTCTAGTTTTTTTCATGTTTTTTTCACATCTGAAAAAAACCGTTTTTTTACATCTAGGCTAGGTGGTAAAGTGACCTTAAAGCCTGGAAAAATAACTTTACTGCCGTGGGTTACATGTTATTTTTCTTCCTACACAATGTATCTAAGTGAAATAAATACTAAAAATTTAAAGATCAAATTTTGACATTTAAAATTATTTAATTTTGACATGCATGTCATCTGGTAGATAACATCTACAAAACAAAGATCCCATAGCAACATCATAGATAATAGCAACATTTACACACAGTTAGATACATATATGTAAAACTTTTTGCAGAAATCTATACTGAATAGTGGTAATTTAATAATTTAATTTGCTAATATTTGATTTTATTAGGCCAATTATTTTATAAAAAAATACAGATTTTGTTTGAACCAAAATGGTTAATTACAATCGTAAAAATACTATTTTTTATATTTTAATTTAACATATTATTGCAATGCCTATTGCCTAGGCCTTTGCAAGGCTAGCTGTAGAAACACCTACTTTCTCGACCCTATGGGGACAGCAAAATTTAACTTTACCATAGCATAGGAAGAAAATTAATTTATGTAATTGCATAATGTACACTTCGCGTCAAATTTAACGCACCATTAAAAATTTGACACAATTTCAAAGTTGATTTTCTCGCAAACCGTCAAACCAAATTTGGTTTATTCTTTGGTAATAATACGTTTATTGAAATATTTTTTCAAATTTACATCTTGAGTATATACAGGGTGCACGAGTGATAATAAGTTTTTTCCCGGAAATAACGCCCTGTGGGTTGTACCAGCTTTAACAGCATATGACTCATATAATTAAACTGTAGCCCTATATTTTCTTAATATATTTTTTTTTATTCACGTCGCTATCTATTTTTTTAAATGAGATATACGGTTAAAGACTAAATAACTCCAGTTTAATGTAAAATGAAAGAACTTAACCATAGGTAGGTCATGGCAGGTCAGAATCTGTAATTTTCATTTAAGTTGTCTGCATAAAGTTATTGTAAGGGAGCGCCAAGTGAGAAATTTGAATCGGGATGAATGTGTAAGAATTATTACATTGGCCGAGCAAGGATTAAGCTACCGTGCCATAGCTTGGAGATTGGGATTCATACCTGAATATCCCGTGTTATTCGACATTTTGAAGAAACCAACGATCATAACAGACGTAACAGATCGGCAGGGAAGGCATCGAATGACAACAGCCGTACATGATCGTTTCCTTTATTTGCTTTGAGAAAACGATTTGTAACAGCAAAAAATCTACAGGTACAACTTAATGCTACTCATAATTTTCAAATAAGTATGTCCACCGTAAGTCGTTTTGCGGAACAGAATTTGAGCTTCAGAATTCCAGCAACAGGACCGAAATTAAATGCAAATTATCGTAGAGCAAAACTGCAATTTACCAGGCAACATGTTGGCTGAAATATTGTGAATTGGCAGCTAGTACTATTTACAGACGAGTCCAGGTTTTGTCTATTCAGCTCTGAACGGCGAATAAGGGTTCTCCGACGTCTAAATGAGAGATTTTCACAGTGTAACATTCTTGAAACCACGCTATTAATTGGAGGTTCTGTAATGGTTTGGGGAGGAATTTCCTTGACAGCTCGCACAGCACTCGTCATTGTTCGTGGAGGTACCCTGAATAGTGTACGATATACTGAGGACATTTTATCTGAGCATGTTGTCCCTTTCGCCCTGTACATCGGTACTAATAGCAAGACCTCAGACCGCTCATATAGTGCAAGAGCACTTACATGATGTGGGTGTTGAACTGGCCTGCAAATAGTCCGGATCCCAACCCCTTCGAGTATTTTTGGGATAATATGGGTAGACGACTAAAAAATCATGATCCCTTGCCTGCCTCCCTTGATGACGTTGCAAATATGCTACAAGAAATATGGAATGTCATTGATCAAGGCAAGATTAGACATCTGGTTTTGAGTATGAGCTGTAATTAGAAGTAGAGGCGAAAATACGCGATATTGATATTCTTTAATGTTGGTTTTATTGATTTTGTTCATATTTTTATTGTTATTGTTACAATCATTCTTTTTAAATTTTAATATTTAACTGTATATTTCTTTTAAAAATAAAGATAACGCGGTGAATTAAAAAAACAAAATGTTAAGAGAAGATGGCGCTATAGTTTAATTATAAGAGACATATGCTGATATAGCTGGTACAACCCACAGGGCGTTTCAAATTTACAGGAAAAAACTTATTATTACTCTCTAGTATATACTCAAAACGTAAATTTGAAAAAATATTTTAATAAAGGCGTCATCATCAAAGAATAAACCTACAATTTAAAACAAAAACTACCATATTCGGTTTGACGGTTCGCGACAAAATCAACTTTAAAATTGTGGCAAATTTTTAGTGGTGCGTTAAATTTGACGCGAAGTGTATATACAATAAAAATAATGTCCACAAGTAACAATAAAAATGCTAACCTTAAAACAAATTACTGTGGATAAAAGGTATTTTGCTTGTGTTTCGTAATTTACTGTCAGTACTGAAAACGCATTCCGAAATCCACTTTCAGTTACTGAGCTCAGTGGTAAATACTACCCTTTTATAATTGTATGGCAGATTAATTTTACTGAAACAACTGGTGACAGAGAGGTGCTGTGGCTCCAGTAAAACACATAACCAAACTTTTAAACAAAAAGTAGCTGTCAAATAAAGTGAAGGATATAAATTATATCATATAATGGGATTTGGTGAATACATCTAGGACTAATTATTTCAATATTTATTTATTAAATATTACTTAAAAGTACAAGCAGCATTGACGAAGGCAGGTCGCCAGGGAGTACGCATATGAAGACCCAGAATATGAAACTACCTACTAGGTAGTACCTAAAAAATGTTATATATTTGTACTCAGCGGACGAATTTAAGAGTAATATTTGGTATTTGGCGTATTGTTGTGGTGTCAGTGAAATTTCCTATTCCTATATATGTACATTTTTCGACGCGGACGACGATAACATTAAATTTTCAATCACAAATCATAACCTTGCGTAACCATTGTCACTTTCTGCTGCTACTGAGGCGCGTTCCAATTTTACTATTGTGTCAGTACTGAATAAATTACGAAACGGTCTTTTTTCGCTTCTGACAGTAAAATTACTGATAGTAATGGCAGTAAATTACGGAACACAACCATTATGTGACATTGAAAATCATGTTCCGACTGAGTGAATATAGACATCAAAATGTGTTCCATGTAAAACTATCAGTTCATGTATTTGTAGTTTAAAATAAGGCTTTTTGAAATGGGTCCAATAATTATAATTGGACTTTATAACATAACCTATATCAATTTTATATTTATATTCTTCTATGATTGATAAATTATTAAAAAAAAATATTTTGTACATACCAAACCAAGTGGACCAATTTTAGGTGCCAAAGATGATGTTGCACCTACTTCTCCTCCAACACATCTTAGGTAAACTAAAATATAAATGCATAAAGAAAAGAATTTTTTAATAGATTTTTGTCACTTACCGTATTTAACTTCAGTAGGATCAAACTTTGGTGGCATTTTATAAACAATTTGCTTACTTCAAATCTATAAAATTAAATTAATTCACAACGATGTAAAAAGATTCCTGAAAATCCACCAAATTTCAACAAAGTCTGGTGTAAAAAGAACGAATCATTTCTAGTAACCAGTGATGTTTTCAGTGGAAAAGAAAAAGCACCAGAGTTTATAGCGGGAATATTAAATTAGGGGATTTGAAAAATCATTTATTTATTTGGTAAATTTATATAACTATATAAATTTATATTAATTTTAAATAATTATTTTAGGTCTCTTGAAAGACATTAACATAAAATAACAAACACTAATTGAGTTTGTTTCTCTATGGAAATTAACCTCAACATCAGTGTTGCCAGATAAAAAAATTCATGTCGCCAAAATAAAGTAAAAGTCGCCAGTTTTTTAGTACATTTTTTTTGTGAATTTTTATTTGTAAAATAAAAAAATAACATGTTCACGCATGATTTTTATTTGAATAACATCGTTTAATTAACATTTACAATCAGCGTAAAATCTGCTTTGTATTACATATTTACTAACTACTACTATTTTAAATGTTGGTTCACGTTCCCAGTCCTTGTTGTGTTTCTTCGTATATTTACCCATTTTTTAACACCGAAAACACAGGGTGCCCGAAAACATAAAGAAGAGTTATCGAAAAAGAGCTTTGGAAAAAAATGTTTGACGTTCGAAATCAGAGATAAAGGCTATGTTCCGTAATTTACTGTCAGTACTGTCAGTACTGAAAACGCATTCCGAAATCCACTTTCAGTTACTGAGCTCAGTGGTAAATACTACCCTTTTATAAATGTACGGCAGATTAATTTTACTGAAACAACTGGGGACAGAGAGGTGCTGTGGCTCCAGTAAAACACATAACCAAACTTTTAAACAAAAAATAGCTGTCAAATAAAGTGAAGGATATAAATCATATCATATAATGGTATTTGGTAAATATATATATATATATATATATAGGACTAATTATTTCAATATTTATTAATAAAATATTACTTGAAAGTACGAGCCCTAACCACATAATGTTCGGACACTTCATAATTTATACAGAAATTTTTTTCGTGAATACTATCTCAAAATTATTAGAAGTTATGAAAAATTCAGCTTATTTTGGCATATACCCCTCGAAGCGATTTTTATTTTTAAAAAGTTTACCTTTTATTTTTAGCTTTTAAAAAAAGGCTAACTTTTTAACTTTTTTTTGTATGAGTAAAAAAAGTTATAAATGGACCCATTAAAAAGAGCATAAAATATTATACAAACCCTGAAAATTTGGTAAAAAATAAATAAGTTATAAAAAAGTATAAGTAATTTAAAAATGCTATTTTTAAAGAGTTTTTGCAATTTTCTTAGGAAACGGGAGATTTTGCAGATATATATATCGCTATAACTTTCTTATTATTTATACAATTTTTACCAAATTTTCAGGGTTTGTATAATATTTTATGTTCTTTTTAATGGGCCCATTTATAACTTTTTTTACTCATGCAAAAAAAAGTTAAAAAGTTAGCCTTTTTTTAAAAGCTAAAAATAAAAGGTAAACTTTTTAAAAATAAAAATCGCTTCGAGGGGTATATGCCAAAATAAGCTGAATTTTTCATAACTTCTAATAATTTTGAGATAGTATTCACGAAAAAAATTTCTGTATAAATTATGAAGTGTCCGAACATTATGTGGTTAGGGCTCGTATAAGCAGCAGTGACGAAGGCAGGTCGGCGGGGAGTACGCATACGAACTTCGTATTACCTACTATAGTACTACCTATAGGTAGTACCTAGAAAATGTTATATATTTGTATTCAGCGGACGAATTTAAGAGTAATTTTTGGTATTTGGGTTATTGTTGTGGTGTCAGTGAAATTTTATATTTCCTATTCCTAAATACATTTTTCGACGCGGACGACGATAACATTAAATTTTCCATATTTCTCTGTCATAAACCAAACATTATATTTCTTATAACTGTTATATTTATTTTTTATTTATGTTCTCTGCTATGCCGAAAGTAAAGTTTGTCAATTGTCAGTAAATCACAAATCATAACCTTGCGTAACCATGGACAATGCATTGTCACTTTCTGCTGCTACTGAGGCGCGTTCCAATTTCACTGTGCGTCAGTACTGAATAAATAACGAAATGGTCCTTTTCCGCTACTGACAGTAAAATTACTGACAGTAATGGCAGTAAATTAAGGAACACAGCCAAAGAAGGTTCGAAATGTCACATTTCGTTATTCTGCCGCGAAATTTCAGCACTTCGTTCCGACAGTGCAGTGAGTGCGTTCGCAATTTCGTATTAACCATCGACATAAAACATGTTTTATGTCGATGAACCTATTTATATTATTCCGATCATAGCTTTGGTGAGTCAAGAGGAATTATTTTACCCTCCTTGGGGCTGACGCCGGTCTAGCGCCGAAAATCGCCCAAATGGCGACTTGTGATTTTTGTAAATTTATGGTCGCCAAAGCGAGTTAAAAATCGCCCAATTTGTGATAAATCGCCCAATCTGGCAACACTGCTCAACATCCATGTAGAGCTATATACCTATATATACCTATAGGTCACAGAAATTTCTGTGGTAGAGGTGGGTTGCGATTTCACGAACTGCTACTTTGTTAAGCCTCATTTATAGATTGCCTTCCTTCCTTCCTTCCTTTTCCCGTAGAAGATGAACAATACAAAAACCGTTGTGCTGTTTAAAGATTTCCGTACGGGAATCCATAAATGGCACTACGATTTTCGTATTGTTCATCTTTTACGGGAGGAAAGAAGGAAGGCAATCTATAAATCAAGGCTTGAACACAATGGTACGGCGTTCGACGGCGTCAAATGTCAAACCAAAGTTGAAACAATGCAAATGCATGATACCACCCACAATGTACGGCGTTGAACGCCGTGTGACGCTGCCAGTTGGCTAACTTTTTACTTTAACGCCGTCAACCATAGAAATAATACTAATAGTATTATTTCTATGCCGTCAACGCAGCTGACAACGCTCAGGGTTGGGTATCTACCTACATTTTTGTTTTCGACATGTAGAAAACCTTTTTCGACGTTTTCGACGGTAGAAAACGTAAAAAAGTAGAATACTGTCAAATATCAAAAAATGTGAGGTTATTCAAGTTTGTTTTTTATTATGATTTGTTAAATGTTGTGAAAAATCAGACACCTACCATAAATTTGAAGTTATTTGGAGTTTTTTAACATTATTATGGTGGGAAAAAAAGGGCCACGTTTGGTTGGGAGACCCCAACATAATTTTTGGCATGAGGGCAAATTTTTATCAATTATAGAGAAGTGGAAGGAGAAGGTAGAAAACCCTATAGGTTTTCGACGCAAGTCGAAAACAAGTTTTCTACCCTTTTCTACCAATGTAAATTACCTACCTTTTCTACTGACCCAACCCTGTCAACGCTGGAAACCTAACCTCACTTTCTGTAAAAAGGCGGTAAAGTTTTAATCTGTCATCTGTTTAGTAAGCTTTAAGCATGATTTATAGATTGTCTTCCTTCCTTTCTCCCGTAAAAGATAAACAATACGAAAACTGTAGTGCCGTTTATAGATTCCCGTACAAGATTGTATTGTTTATCTTCTACAGAAGAAGTTCTACTGGAGGAAGGAAGGCAATCTATAAATCAGGTTTACTCTGTGATATTTGTTCTTTGGTTTGGATTCGAAATTGATATCAGACAAGTTTTGCAATCTATAAATACAATAGAAGCACCGGCGATGGAAGATTTTGATGAACACCTTGTTCATTTAATAAAAACGAACGAAATTTTATATAACAAGAGGTGTAATGGTTATAAAAACGCCGTGACTAGAAGTTCACCGGGAGTACGGGCATTAAAAGTACATCCGGTTTGTGCGCATGCGTGTTTCCATAAAATTTCGGATTTATTTGTTGAGATTAAATTGGTACACTAAGGCCCAGTTGTATAACATTTGGTAAACAGCTGGTTAACTCTTGATATTAATTATGTCATTATTAAGCTAACTTTCAAGTTATATAAACATTGATTAAAATTTAATTAAGTGATTGAAATACAATTAACAACAAAATTAATGAAATGTCAGTATGAATTACCCAAACCAACCCAAACTCAACAACCCAACCCAACCGACCCCGCCCCATTGGGCCCCCCGCCCCATTGAACGCGAAATTGAGCGACCATTTAATATTATACAATTGACAAATATGCTAAATAAGGATTTTTTTCCACCCGGTGTACGTTTAATGGCGGTACTCCCGGTGTACTTCTAGTCACTTTGTTATAAAAATATAACCCTAAAAACCCTAAATACACAAATTGTAACACAATTAAAAATTCTCAACACCCACAATCAAAACAAATAATCGCGTTTTTGTAAATATACTTTAGGTTAGATTACCCCCATCTGTCAGATTTACTGTCAAATAAATGGGAGCAACACGCAGGGTTGGGTCAGTAGAAAACCTTAGGTAATTTACCTTGGTAGAAAACGGTAGAAAACTTGTTTTCGACTTGCGTCGAAAACCTATAGGGTTTTCTACCTACGTAAATTACCTTATTCGACCTTCCACTTCTCTATAATTGATAAAAATTTGCCTTCATGCCAAAAATTATGTTGGGGTCTCCCAACCAAACGCGGCCCTTTTTTTTCCACCATAATAATGTTAAAAAACTCCAAATAACTTCAAATTTATGGTAGGTGTCTGATTTTTCACAACATTTAACAAATCATAATAAACAACAAACTTGCAAAACCTCACATTTTTTGATATTTGACAGTATTCTACTTTTTTACGTTTTCTACCGTCGAAAACGTCGAAAAAGGTTTTCTACATGTCGAAAACAAAAATGTAGGTAGATACCCAACCCTGGCAACACGCGAGGTCTAAACTCACAAGAGGTGCGTTCTTTTCACCTGAGATCAGGGCTGCCAACCAACCTTTTTATTGATTTACTCTCAGAACTTTTCAAGATTACTCACAAATTTCTCACAACTTCGAAATGACAATACTGAGGTTAATTTTTTTTATAAATATTTAAAATGGTATAAATAGAAATTGTATATTTGATAATAACTGGTGACGTCACTGATGACTAATGCCGCTTTTGCTTCTTAAATTCTCACAGCGCCACCTAAGCGATAATAAATGCGCCAAATTTAACAAAAAATCACA